TCTAGCGAATAAGCCTACACCCCCTTATGTATTCTTTACCTCCAACAGCCTCCTACCCCATTGTAACCTCGCATCACAGCTGTTTCTGATATCTTAACAATCGAACGTCTGCTCTTCTTTGGCCTTTCTATCCCCACCTAAACGAGACTGCTGTTCTTCTAATCGCCTCAGGACTTCCGTCTCTCCGACCCACCTATTTCACTTTCTGCTGCTTCCAGAACGTTGAGCTTTGACCTCCTCCCAACAATTCGTCCACCGCGTTAAAGCCCTTGTTTCTACTTGGACCAGTCCGGCCTCTGAGTCTCCAAATGCCCATAGGTCTCCAGTCAATGCCTCTCTTCTTTTGCGCATCGGCTGTCATTGACCATGGTGCTCATTGGTAAAAGCAACAGCCTCCTAATACTAGTCCCCGTCTGATTCCTTATCTGTATGCTTGGTCCTCCCTATCTTAATTGTAATCTTCGGTCTCTGATTGAGTGCTGCCGCTCGGTTTCCCCACCACATTAACATCTGCCTCTCTCATTCGCCTCCTTCCCTATCCTATTCCTTATATGGCTCCATTCTACCGCCACTCTTTGACTACATCGTACATTGTAGTGTTCACATCCCCGTCTATCGGACCGATGTCACCCTTATTCCACCAGTACCAGCTTCTGACCACCTGATCTTCTCATGTCTCATCCACACCTATGCTTAACCCTACTCTACTGTATATTGTATTCGGCCCCTCTTTTGGTCAATATCGCAACTCTTTACTACTGGTCTAGGTACCCCTAGCACCAGTGCAACATCCCAGTCCTCGTTAGATTCACTGCACATTTCATCTTTACAGGCTTCCATTCGGATTGCGATGCTCCGTCGCTCACAACCAGCCGACTTGAAAACATATTCATTCCTTCATCTTATGCCTTAGGTCTCCTTGGCCTTACAATATTATTATTATCTACCACCAGCTAACGCTTGATGATGCCTGTCGCTCCATAGCTACGTCTGTTTACCTAGTATGACTACTAGGCCTTGAGGAGCCACCTAGCCTGCGGCTTATTCCCATTTCATCTCTACAAGCTTCCAGTTGGATTGTGATGCCACAGCGCTCACAACCATCCGACTTGACAACATATTCATTCCTTCATCTTATGCTTGAAGTCTCTCTGGCATTACCTTCTGATTAATACCTAGTCCCGGATTCCGAAGCCTGTCGCTCCCTAGCTCCGTCTTTTTATCTCTAGTATGACTGCCAGGCCTCAAAGAACCACCTAGCATGTGGCCCACTTCCATTTCATCTTAAGAGACTTCCATTAGGACTGTGATGGCGTATCACTCACAACCATCCGACTTGCAAATATTTTCATCCCTTCACCTCATGCCTGATAATATTTCGGTCTTACATACTTAGCAATGTCTCCTTCCGGATTCTGGTTGTCATTCTCTGCTGCTTCTTATCAGCTGTTTCACTCTAGTATGTCTGTTAAGCTTCAGATAGCCACATAGCTCCTGTCTAACTCCAATTCCATATTTACATTCTTCCATTTGGATTGTGATGCCGCATCGCTCACAACCATCCGACTTGCCATCCTTTTCCTTCCTCCGCCTCATGCTTGAGATCCCTGCGGTCTTACATTCTAAGTACCATCTACTTCCGGATTCTGATCTTTGCTGCTTGCTGTTCCCTAATTGCAACATAACACTCAAGTAATTCTTCTCAGTCTGGAGAGCCATCAAGCCTGTGACCCATTCCCATTTCCTCTTAACAGGCTTTCATTTAAATTGCAATGCCGTATAGCTCACAACCATCCCACTAACTGACGTTTCGATCCCTCCACCTTATGCTTGAGGTCTCTTTGGCCTTACATCTTTGTTATTAGCTACTTCTATCCATATACTTTTTCTATTCTAAATGCCATTGTCTGCTGCTTCTAAACTCTATCTGTTCCACTCTAGTATGACTGCTAAGCCTCGAAGAACTACCGAGCCTGTGACTCATTCCCATTTCATCTTTACAGGCCTCCACTTGGATTGTGATGCCGCATCGCTCACAACCATTGGAATTCCCAACAGCTTCCTTATTTCATCTTATGCTTGAGGTCTCTACGGCCTTACATTCCTACTATTATCAACTTCCGGCTTCCGCATGTCGATGCCTGTCGCTTCCTAGCTCAGCCTGTTTAACCTTAGTATGACTGACAGGCCTCGAAGAACCACCTAGTCTTTGGCCCACTCCCCTTTCATAACAGGCTGTCACTTGCATTGTGATGCCGCATGGCTCACAAATATCCGACTTGCCGACCTTTTCATATTTTCACCCCATGTTTGTTGATACCTCGACCTTACATTCTTATCATTATCTCCGTCCGGATTACGAATGTCCTTGTCCGCTGCTTCTCATCTCTATCTGGTTATCTATAATATCACTGCTACACCTCGAAGAGCCATCTTGACTATGGCTCATTCACATTTCACCATTACAGGCTACTATTTCACTGTAGAAATCCACCTTGGAGTTGAACTTAGTATCTTTTGGCGCCGCTGCCCAGCTTAATCCGCTACCCCTGGTCCCTTTCAGAGCTGGCTCTGCAACCGTTTTCTCCATACAGCAGTAATATATAGTCCATTCCATTCTCGCCACTGCTCTTAAAATTGAAAGGCTATTACTCCGTGCCTCATATTCCAATAGCGAGCGGTTCCTGATTCACAGTTAATCCGGCACCCTCCTTCCTGTTCTCTACCGTCTATTTGAATTGTACTTTTTACTGTAGAAGTCCAACTTGCAGTGGAACACTTACTATCTTCCGACGCTACAGTCCATATCATTCTGCTACCCCACGTTCCTTTCAGAGCTGGCTCTATAACCGTTTTCTCGCTACAGCTGTAGTAGGCAATCCCATATTTTCTTGCTCCTGTCCTTAACAATAAACGGCTGTTAGTCCGTGCCATGAATAGTTTACTACAGAAGTCCACCTTAGAGTGGAACACTTAGTATCTTTTGGCGCTGCTGCTCAGCTTAATCCGGTACCCCTATTTACTTTCAGAGATGGTTTTGCAACCGTTTACAGCTGTAGAATGTAGTCCCTTCCATTCTCGCTACTGTTCTTAACACTGAACGGCTATTAGTCCGTGCCTTACATTATGATAGCTAGTGGCTCCTGCTTCACAGTCAATCCGGCCCCCTCCACCCTGTTCTCAGCCGTCTATTTGACCAGTACGTTCCACTTTAAAAATCCACCTTGGAATGGAGCAGTTAGTATATTTTGGCGCCGATGCCCATCTTATCCGGCTACCTATAGTCCCGTTTAAAGCTGCGTCTGCAACTGTTTTCTCACTACAGCGGTAGTATGCAATCGCTTCCATTCTCGCCCCAGTTCTTAACTTTGATGGCCTATTAGTCCATGCCTCATCTTACGATAGCTTCTGGCTCCTGGTTCACAATAAATCCGGCTTCCACCATCACTCTTCTCTGCCGTCTGTTTGACTTGTATTTTTCACTTTTGTAGCCCACCTTGGAGTGGAACACTTAGTATCTTTTGACGATGCAGCCCATATCATTCTGTTACCCCACGTCGCCTACAGAGCTGGCTCCGCAAGCATTTCCTCTCTACAGCTATAGTATGTAGTCCCGTCTCCCCTTGCTCAAGTTTTCAACATTGAATGCCTATTATTATGTGCCTCATCTTGAGATAGCGAGTGACTCCTGCTCCACAATTCACCCGGCATTCACCATTACTCTTCTCTGCCGTCTATTTGATGCCGATATTTCACTGTGGAACTCCACCTTGGAGTGGAACGCTTAAAATCTTTCAACGCAGCCATTTGAACTGATACTTTGCCGCCGTACAAGCACAACGACCAATGGAGCGAAGAATCATAACAGGCAGAGGAAATGCTTAATGCCATAAGCAAATTTTAGTGCCTAGGTGCCTCCACCTTGTCAACAACATACCGGAGTACCATCCGAGGTGTCTAGAATAATGTGAAATTTGCGGTTGGTGAAGTTTACTGTGTAGGCGGCGGCAATAACGCTTTAGTGGCTGTCATTAATAGTTATCGTAATAATAATGATTATATTCCTGAAATATGTGAGGCTGTCCCATTGTCTCCAAGTTTCTGAGTTATATCATTAGCCCGATAATTAAATGACTAGACCGATGACATCAGGAGAAGTCGGTACAGTAAACAAACTCGTTTGCGGTGAAGACGAGCTTGACTGCTCTGATGCACATCGTCCTGACGTATTGGATGTCGGGAGACACCGCACACTGGGATAGAGACCCATTCATTTGTGTCGTTGATTCAAGCTATTAAGGTCTCAGCCAAGGGAAGTAACTACTCCTGACACAATTTCGTCTGGACTCTTGTCAACTTTTTACTATTTCTTCCCTGTCTACTTCCGCTGTTGATTACATTAGATTGTAACATATATCCCCGCTAGTTTTATAGTTTGCCTGTTTTCACTCTATAATTTTTCGGTTTGGCTACGTGAATATAATAATTCAAAAGCGAGCTAATATTTACACGAACCTACTGCCTTTATTTCTTCAACTAACACAGTTGTAATTAATTTCGTAATGGAAAACCAGGCGGCAAGAAGACGCTTTTGTGACGCTTATTTTATTACGCGTTTCGATGCAATCAAAAATTAACCGAAGCGGCTCGGGGTATTTGTGCCTTTTACAGAGAGTGTTCAATAATTCGAGGACTGCTCGAGATTGGTTAGCCAAGTTCAGGAACGACATTTTCAACCTGGACGACAAGGGTCGCTCTGGGACCTACCGGATTCGATGAAATCCATTTGAAGGTGTTTTCGAAGGAGAACGGTTGCTAAACATGCAGAGAATTGGCGGAGAAGATGAACAGTCATGAAATAACGGTATCCCATCACCTTCAGTCAATTGGTTCTACTACAGAATTTGGAGCCTGCGTGTAGCACAAGTTTACCGGAAATAAAATAGAAATTTGCCCTCAAATTGATGTTCCACATACTGCCCACACACAGTGACACGTGGCTACAAGAAAAGATTTTTAGATGGAATTGTCACAGAAGATGAGAAATTGTCGCTGTTCGAACATAAATCAAATGAAGGAGTTGGTGCCTCTAGGGGACGCGCAAACTCTGAGTCAAGCAAAAAATCCATCCCATAAACACCTGCATCTGTGTTTGGTGGGACTGGGGTGGCACGGCGCACCTGAAGAAACATGAGAGAAACAACACAGCTGAAAGGAATCTCTGTACAGACCAGCTACACCGTGTGAATGAGGCCGTCCAGTAGAAAATGCTCGATCTCTAAAGCCAAGTCGTTCTGCTCAATGAGGATGCCAGACCCTATGTTGCAAGCGTCGTCAAAGCGGCCCCGAAAGACATCGATCGGGCGGTTCACCAACATCCATGCTCCGAACCTCGCCATCCAACCAACCAAGTGAGATACGTTGACATCGCTAACGGCGAGCAAATTAAAAATAGTCTAACACTTTTTTCGAGTCTAGTATTGATATTTTGGTCGAGAGGTGGGTGCACGTCGTACACAGAGGCGTAGCATACGTAGTTGCTTGATTTGTTGTTATGATTGCTGTAACTATCAAGAAAACGTTTCGATATAAACAACATAGTATGTCGCTCATGTAGATATAGGTCATGGACACGAGCTTCACCGAAATCTGATGATATGCGCATAACTGACCAGCTGGACCGAAGTGAACTCAATTAAGTTCAACATTCAGTTTGCGCAACAACATCCACCGAAAAATGTCCTTTTCTTAATGCTGGTGTAAAAGTGTTCCTCAACGCGTCTAACAGTGAGGAGACCAACTAAGTAATAGGTTAGCCATTTCGTCATAAAAAAGCAGCCTGATGTACACGTGGATTGCGATGCATTCTAATCGACACAAGTGAAAGCACCACTATGTGGGCCCGGTGATGGTTCCATCGTGTAAACAAGACGGTGGAGTAGCGAATTCGAATTTATTTACGCGTTTATTCACATAAGTCAGCGCTCTGTCCTTACATCAAAGTTCGGCGTACGCAGCATCGCAATCATGGTGACAATAGGCATAAAGAGCTCGTGAAATAAACGGCACGGTGGGTGAAACACACAAGTGAACAGAGTGAACGTATAGAGGTATAAAAAACACTGACTCACCTCTCGCTTTTTATGATTCCTCAGCACCAAGTGGGATGAGCTGGACTTGACCAGAGTGTTGAGGAAGGGTAGTTTGGACAGTAGACGCTGGTTTGTGTGCACAAGTGAACAGGTAATGTGTGTATGTCACTGGGACATGGCGAGAAGGATGTGGTTATAGTGCTCTAGAAATCTGACAGTGCCACTAGTATCTATCCGCTTGGGCGAATCTCATCATGCAGTATTGGGTATGCCAAAACAGTCGTATCTGAATGCTCTCAGTTGAGAGCAGGGGCTGAATAGAGGCAGTGTAATGGAGTACGGACAACAAAGAGGTTTGCTTCCAACGACTATCGCATAACCCTGAATGTGTCACCGTATGGAATAAAAACGTTTGCCAGATTTTCACGTAACTTATCAGGGGTGTTCAAAATGAACATGAACTTTTGTACTAGTGCGGCAACCAGCAGAGTGTGCACGCTGGGGATGCTGTGTAGAGGTGGTGGCCCGCTTAGACAACAAGCTACCATTTGTCGTATTGCGTTTTGACTGTTGGTTGAGGAGCTACAGTAGCTTAACAATGAACAATGATTTATTTCGGGTAAAAAAGCAGTTGCTTGACAAGTCCCGCAGGATGGTGGGGGTAAAACTACAATCAGCAAACGATAGGTGAACTTTCTGTTTGAGCGGTTATCTAGCAGATAATAGTAGTGTATGTGGAACGGGTCCTGCAGAGAACGTAGGCAGAACCAGCGCAGCGGCTGTAGGTACGCTGCATTCCATTTACTAACCGCGTGCTTGCAAGTTAAGTCTCTTTATTTCAGGTGGTGGGCTTTCAGTTTTTTCCTAATGCCTTTCTTTCTCATATATATGTCTAGTGAGCCATGAGCGAGGCCACTCGGGACCACTACAGAAGCGAGGACTGGTCCTGCCGAGAAGGTAGGCAGAACCGGCGCAGCGTTTGTAGGTACGCTGCATTCGATTTACTAACCGCGTGCTGGCATGCTAAGTCTCTTTATTTCAGGTGGTCTGTTTTCAATTTTGCCTTAATGCTTTTCTTTCTCATATAAATGTCTACCTGTACTCCATTCCATTAACTTGCACACGTCGCTTAAGCCAATTGTATACGATTTCCATAACATATTTGTGTTCGTGGCATTTCCGTAAAATATAGTTTCTGACCTCGTGAACTTATCTAGGATTCGTTTTAAACAACTTATTTCATATGCTCCTTAACTTAAGGTTTATGTCACCATTTCCTTATGTATTAATCGAGTTATTTTCTCTGTATCTCTCTCTCTCTCTCTCTCTCTCTCTCTCAAGTGATTGGCTGTTGTTTGATATCCCCGGTGTGGCTGCGCTTGGTGTGCATGTTTACAAGGTGCCTACCTGTCTATTACCCACTACCTCGTTCATACTGGCTCCAGCAGACAGTTGGTCGTTGCTGGAGGGGACGGGGTGCACGGTCCTTGTGGCCATACGAGGCTCGAAGAGTGGTTCCATGCACTCAGTGTGGAACGGACTACGGTCCAGCCACCGCCTTGTGTGCGCTTGATTCCCCAAATACACTGTGCTTGTGTTTGCCTGTGAAGGAGCGTGGGCCGGCTCCGTTGATGAAACGTGGCTTCCATCCGCATGCCTCCCGGTCTTATTCGTTCGGGTTTACACTGGATATGTGGTGTGTGCTTGGAGCTGTGGGAGGTGCAGCGCAAGCCATCCGTGGTCCCTCTGTAGGCGCAGACGTCCTGTGGCTGGCCACAGTGACAGGCAAATCCGAAACCGGATGCCGCCAACCATGTGGGAACTGAACGTGAACGACGTGGTAACATGGAGGCAGTTATAGTTAGTGTATTACATGTGAAAACTTAAAACAAGAATACTCACTTCTGTCCCGCATCCAAAGGCTTACGTAACATGCTAATTAATATATTCCAAAGTTGCACAGTTTAGGCAACGAAGTGATGGGGGCCAACGGCAAGATTCAATTGTTTTTTGAAAATATCCAAGGTGGGGGAGGAAACAACGAAGTTTGGGAAAGAGTTCCAGGGTTGGCAAACCCGAAGAGAAAAATAATTTTGCCGGCATTCCAGGCGGCTAAACTGTGCACACAATTTCAGAGGGTTACCTCTGAGAATGGTGTTATGGCTGAGTTTCAGCAAATGACGACATACATGGTTGGGATCACTCAATATTTGGTAGACTAATATTAGATCGAGGCGCAGCCTTCGGTATCGACCAATGAAAACTCCCAGGGAATCTAACCTTTGATTATAGGACAGATTTCGTAGGCCCTTGACTTTCTTTCTGGCCCTGCTTAGGGGTTTCTCTAGTACCTCTAAGTCACGCTTCAACCAAGGTTGCCAACCTTGGATGACGTCTTCAAGGTGAGGGTGCCCGTAAGAATTGGGTATCATAGGGAAGATGGGTGGGTCGAATCTTCCGAACGATCTGCGCAGCAAGTCCACGTGCTGGTTTGTTCTCTTCGCAGCTGCCTCGGACTGCTTTGAACAATTAAGGTTAATTTGAATGTGTACACCAACGTCGCTTCCTTGGGAAGTTTTTTGTAACACATGTGACCCAAGCCTGTACACGTAGTCATGTCTATGGCGCAATTGAACAGCGTGACATTTTTTCACATTGAGCGGTAGGGTATACAAACCTGACCAGGTTGAAATCGTGTTGAGGTCAAGCTGGAGTTTTTCGTGGTCGTTCGGTTCTTTGATCGCTCGCCATAACTTGATATCATCCGTGAAGAGTAGGAAATCGAAAGTAATTTCCATCGCCATATCGCTTATGAAAATAAAGGATAGACGGGCCCCAGCCACAAGCCTTGTGGTACGCCGCACTCTACCTCGATTGCGTCGGACAAGGATTCTCGTACTCGCACTTCCAACCCTTGTTCATGCAGGAAATTGCCTATCCAACGCAACAGTGAGTCACCAACGCCACAGAGCTGAAGTTTATGGAGGAGACTTCGGTGATCTAAAAGATCAAATGCTTTTGAGAAGTCCAGGTATATGATATCAACTCCTGCTCCACCATCAACTGCTTCAGTCCAGTTGTTGCGTGCAATTAACAAGTTCGTAGTGCATGAGCGCTTTTGTCGGAAGCCATGTTGCTCTGGTGCTAAAATCTTGTGATTTTCCATATAATGCATGAGTGCATCAGCGATGATAGATTCCATAAGCTTGGAAAGTACAGGGAGTAGCGTTATAGGACGTTAATTGGTTGGGTCAGTGCGGCTACCTCCCCTATGAATAGGAGTGATTACCCCACGCTTCCATATTATTGGGATATGGTTCTCCTCCAAACAGCGCTGATAGAATATAGCCAGAGGTTCCGCCAGATAACTGGCTGCTGCCTGTAGAACCCTCGGTCGAAAGCAATGGACACCAGGAGAGCTGTGGATACGCAGAGACAACAGTTTCTTTGACACACTTGCTGCAATAAAAGTAAGATTTAATAAAGCTGATGGTGGGACAATAGAAACAGGGATAACCGTTGGGCCTGGTTATTTCGGGAACGTTTGTGAGTAATGGAACTGTAAGAGATCGGCTGAACCGTTGATGATTACGTGCATCAGTCAGTCGTGATCAGTGTTGGAATTCCGAGTTGCACCTTACGAAGGCCATTAACATGCCTGTCTAATAGTTTGCGGTTTGTACAGAATCACTTCATTAACTCCTGCTGATGCGTCAGCTTGTCCTCGCGGATCAAACTCACACAGAAGTTACGCTGTGACACATAGGCAGTCCAGATTTCGGAATTCGGGGAGTCCTTGTGAGCTCTCCATGCTACGTCCCTCAAGGATATGCATTTGCGTGTTCTGCAGCTCAGAAATGACTTTCTTCTCCTTTGACGATGGAAGGATTTCTGCTCAGGCGCGTGCATCACCAACGTGTTGAATGTCCTTTTAAAAGTGTCCCAGGCGATTTCCGGAGGTTTTCCGTTAAGAAGGTCCAAGATACCTCCTTAACAAGCGTGGATAGCACGTTGTAGTGCGTGACGGTATATACTTTCTCGTCCTCTTCCTCAGGATATTCCGCATAACATACATGGTTGAACAGTAGAGTCACATGGTCACTGCGACCCAGTGGTGTGCTTGGAATTATTTCGTCTACCATGAGTTCTTCCTTGGTGAGCACAAGATCAAGTATCGACGGCTTGTTAGCAGTTCGAAATCTGGTGGGAGTGGTCACGTGGTTGTACAGAGGGTAGCTGGAAATTACCTCTTGTAAACAGGCTTTGAACTGCATGCTATCGGTCGCCGCTATTTCCAGATCCTGCACATTAAAGTCGCCTGCGATGAGAAGGTGACTATATGTCTTGCTCAAAGCAACCTGAAGAACGTGGTTTAGTTTGGAGTCCAGTTCACAAGTAGAGTTTGGTGGACGGCAAATCACAGCTAGAAGACATGTGTCTTTGTTCCGTAACCATAGCCGACATCAAAGTGAATCTGAAGCACGGATCTCTCGGGGGTCAGCAACTTCATATTGGAGGTTAGCCTTGTAATACAGAATTACGCCACCACCTCTTCCGTTCGTCGGTCGGCCGCTAATCCCTTTTTGTGTGGATCTTTGGTGCTTGAATTTCAGTCAAGCTGCATGGTAGCATGGAGTGTCCCAGATCGAGATGTTCTCTCGTGTGTCTCCCTGTCCCGTCAGGTGTCGCTAATGCCATGTTGTTTACAACTCTGCAGGATTGTGGAGGCAAATATTTTACTGAGGTTGCATGTTCCAATGAAGTGCTGGTAACTAGTGACCATGCGCCTGCTATCTTTAGCCTAATCTCGGTAGCCAACCTAGACCGATGCTTCAACCACTTATCCAATAGGACTTCTGTCATTCCATCGGAGTGTAGCACGAGTTACAATATTTGTGGACCGCAACCCTTATAGTTTGGAGATGAAGGAATTCTGGTTAATGATTTAGCAATAACGTGGTCCAGAGAGGGTGCTTCGCGGATGTAGCACCACTGCTCTCGGTCATGTTTTTGCGCTTCGTGCTCAGGCGAGCACAGTAGTTCAGGAACACCATGAACAAATACGTTTTTTATGCCTTCGTTCGTAGAAAGGCCGCCATGGTTTTCTTTTTCCTTTACCCTTCCTT